GTGGTCTGCGTGGCACCGAACCCCCCGCGCTCCCGCTTGCTCACTGCTCATTAGGTAACTGGAGGTGACAGAGGGCCGGGGTGAGGTCTGTCCCCTCGCCACCCCGCAGCGTGCAGCGCAGCCCTGCCACGCGTGCACTGCCAGCGCCGGCGGCTGCACAGCGAAATGAGTGCAATTAAACCACAGGGCTCGCCTGGCCGAGTAAACAGCAGAGCCATAAAGGAAGCTGGCAAAGAGCAGCCCTTTCCAGGCACTTGAGCAACAGCACAAGAACAACTCAGGGCATGAAATGATGGCAACTCTCCTGGGCTTTTGCCATGCAGTGACCCGGGGCTGAGGGTGAGCACGGCACATGTGCTGCTCCGCGTCTGCTCCTGCGGTCCCTGCCGGGCTCTGGCTGTGCCGCAGCAGTGTCACTGCCCCGAGTGCCTGCGAAGGGACCCAGGCAGTGTCCTCCCCTCTCCGGGTGCCTGCTCGGGGAAGCAGAGCCCCAGGGCTTCAGGCCCTGCTCGGGATATTCCCAGCTGCAGCACTAAGGACATGATGTCTTTGTGAGTGCAGCAGAGCTGGAACCAGGCTCTTGCTGAATTAAAATGAAGCCAGACCCTCTTTTAATACAGCTTCACTCTTAGATTAAGGGCATGTAGTGACAGGACAACGGGGAATGGCTTTAACCTGCCAGAGGGGAGATTGAGATGAGCTCTTGGGCAGAAGCTCTTCCCTGTGAGGGTGCTGAGGCGCTGGCACAGGGTGCCCAGAGAAGCTGTGGCTGCCCCATCCCTGGCAGTGTTCAAGGCCAGGTTGGACACAGGGGCTTGGAGCAACCTGCTCTAGTGGAAGGTGTCCCTGCCCGGGGCAGGGAGTTGGGACTGGATGAGCTTTAAGGTCCCTCCAACCCAAACCAGTCTGGGATTCACCTTCCTTACCCAGCTGCCCATTGTAGCATCCTCCCACCAGCACATACGAGTCTTTGGGGTTGTATTCCAGGGTCACAAGAGGTGATGGCGGCTTGAGAACCAGCTCGGGCTTGTTGGAGTTCTCTGCCAAGAAGGGATGAGTGAAGAGCAAAGTGCGGCCTGGAGGGCGAGCACCCACCTCTAAACCAGCCTCGTGCTACCGCATCTCGCTCCTCCACATCGGGCTGCATGAGGTGGCCATGTCACCAGGATGGCTCTGATGAGCCAGGGAAGGGAGGGACCCTGGTATCCCAACCCGTGGTACCCTGTCCCCTCTTCTTTGTGTTTTTCACCCCAAAATACAGCAGGTCTGAGAGTGCCTTTGCCAGAGCAGGACAACTCTCCCCCTGCCCTGTGCAGCCTCTGCCGTAATCAATCACAAGTGAACCACAGCAAGACAAGAACCACATCAGAGTGGGGCTCAGCTGCCTGCTGCGGTCCCAGGCTCTGTAGCTCACGCTGCAGTGGGATTTTAGTGGTTATTTCCCACCTGTTAGCCAGCTTTCAGGTCCCATTTCTCCCCTTCTCTGCATTGATCCGTGGTCAAAGCAGCCCCCGACCCCCTGTTCACCCCCTCCAGAGTGCTGTGAGGCTTCATTACGCTCTTTGAAGACACAAAGTGCTTCCGCAGCAGCAGCATTACCGACTGCTGAGTCTTCCCCTTACCAAGATCCCAGATGTACGAGTCAAGGCTCATGTCTGTCTTGTTTTGCTGGAACTCCAGGATGGAATAAGCCACTGCCAGTTTCTTGCTTGCATCGGGGCACCAGGAAAGGTGCGTGGCTGTCCTCTTGGCTGTGTTGGGGTCCCTTTTTGATAACAAGACATCAAATAAAGAGGTTAGTTTGCTCACAGCTTTGTCAGGCCCTGGGATGGCTGTGTCCCAAAGGAAGCTGGGGAGACAATTAAAACAAACTGCAGCTCATGAGCACTGAGTGCAGGAAATGAATCTCCCGAGGGTTGGGTGGAGGGAGAAGGACCGATGATTTAATGAAGTCTTTCCAGTTATATGTTTCTAAGAATCCAGTTATGTTACTGGAGCTGACTTCTAGAAATGACCTAAAGCCCCTGACATGGGAAAATAATCTCTGAGGCATAAAAGGAATTAATCAAATCCTGCCTAAAGCACTGTTGGAAGATGCTCAGAGCTGTGTCTGTCCCTGTACCTATCTCCAAAGTGCCTGAGCAGGGTGGAGAGGAACAGATTGAGTTTTGGAGCAGGGGGCTGCAGCAGGTCTCTCCATCCACAAACCCATCCATCACTATCCTAAGGCTGCTGGGTTTTCCACCTCTTTTGTCTCCAAAAGCAGTTTAATATGTAGTATGTGGAGAGCCCAGCTGGTTGTGCTACCTGATGGCATTGATGGTTTTTGCAGAGGGGGGTTCGATTTCCACCTCTATCATCTCCTCCTCATCAAAATACTCCTCATAGATGTCGATGGCGTTGTTCTGCTTGACGCAGTGCTCCATCAGCTATGGGGAAGCACAAGCAGAGGCTGTGGGGAGCTGCTAGGGCACGGGGACAGGCAGCGGGTGGGCAGGGGGGCTCTGGGAGCAGGAGCAGGGACACAGCCCGTCCTTACGGTGCCGAGCTGTGTGACGACGCTGATGTAGTGCTCATCCTTCTCCAGCTTCTTCCTGAAGCGCGCCGTCTGGTCCGCCTCGCGCGGGTTGATGTCTTTGGGCCAACCGCCCTCCACGTGGTTCACACCACGGGACTGCACCTTCACTCGGTCTGTGTTGACCTGGGGGTGACACAGAGGAAGCAGAGCAAAGGCTGAGCCCCAAAGGTGCAAAACCAGACCTAAACCATGCTATGGGAACACACCATCTCCCCTCATTTCCCATAGGAAGACAGGCTGAGAACACCGGGGCTGTTCA